CCTATGTGATATGTCTCTTGTGGTTAGCTATTGTGATGAGTATTGCTTTTCTTAGCTCCATTTCTGTATTCTCTTTGTCATTTGACCCAGTAATTGCAGTACTTAGAATATACCCTAAAGAAACTAGAACTTCCACCCAAACAGATATGTACATACCTATGTTTATCACAATAGCAAAGAGATAGAAACAATACAAGTGCCCAACAACAAACAAATGGATAGAGAAGCTGTGGTTTCTTCACACAATGGAATAATACACAACACTGAAAAACAAGGAACTCATAAAATATTATACAAAATATTATACCCTGGAGGAGAGTATTCCAGTCACAAAAGGACAAATATAAATGCCATTGTTATAAAACAAGACTGACGCTGGGTTTTGCAGGGAAACTAAGAAAAGAGAGAGTAATAATAAACACTGCATTGGAACAGATGAGAGAATTGTTTAAAAGGAATATATGATTAGGCATTATTTGCAAGACAGCAGTCCAGAATAAGAGGTACATAGCAAAGTGGACTAGGGTTGTGGGGAGAGCAGAAATTGTGCAACAAAAAATGAACTTTTTAAAGAGAAAAGTGAACTGGTGGTGGGGATAGGCAGGAAAATGTGAGAATGAACGGAAATCCAAGTTTTCGGTAAACTTTCATTAAAATCCCAATAAAAATTATTTTAAAAAGGCAAAGTACAAAACATTATGCATATGTTAGAATTGACTTATGTCAGTTTGAAGACTAAGGTGCACCTTCTCAGTCACTAGCTATGCAATTGAGAGCTGGACAAGATGACAGAAGAATTGAAGACTTTGAGTTGTGCTGGAGAAAGGGTACTGAATATGCCATGGATTACCAAATGAGCAAATAGATGTGTCCTGGAAAGGGCCAGAGTGCTCCTTGGAGGCAAGGATGACCACATCTTTCATTCTTTGGACATGTAGCTAGGCAAGGCTATTCCTTGGAAAGGGACACCATGCTTGGTCAGCAAAGGAGAGGGAGACCCCGAATGAGATGGATTGTCATTCTGACTTCAGAAATGGGCTCAGCTATGTCAGGGGTGATGAGAATGGCACAGGTTATGGCAAGTTTCAGGTTGGCTTTTTATAGGGTCGCTGTGAATCACACTTGACTCAATGACACCTAACAATAACAGTGATACTATAATTTATGTATACAGAGATATATGAGGTTGGTGTGCTAGAGTGGATTCTTACTGGCATGGGAGTGCTAATTATGCACCTCTCTTCTCAACTTCATGGTTGGTGACTTCATTTTGGCATCTTGCATGATGACAGTACTTACACTCAGAAATCTGCAGACAGGCTTTTTGTAAAGTTGGTTAAACATTTATCACAATTCCATTGTATGCATGTCTGTATCTCTGTGTGTAATATTTCTTGAAGGATCCATAAGAGACTAGTAACATCGATTTCTTCCAGGAAGGAGAACTATGATACTTGTTTCTTTTTTAAAGTGAGTAAATGAAAAACCACAGACAAACCTTCAGAGTTGATGAGAATTAAAATTTTATATGATGTTTAAGTACTATCTTTCAGTGTTTTGCAGTCTAACTGATACAGTGAATTAAAGTTGTCAGGCTAGATAAAGTACACAATATGAAACAGTATTGTAATTTTAGAAATAGGTGACGATTTTATTCCCATGAGCTACCTAAAATAAATCAGAGTTAGATAAGGTTGCCATTGTATTTAAAAAAAAAATAGAGAGTTCTGGTAGTGTAGTCTGTAGGGAGTTACACTACTAACCCAAAAACTAAAAATCTCCAACTTCTCTGGTGGTTAGAATCTACCAGAGGCGCCATGGGAGAAATAATAGACAGTCTCCTCCCATGCAATTTATAGCCCACTGGAGAGTCATCTAGTAGCTGGTTCTGATAGTTGGTAGTGAGTGAGTTGAGTTATATCATTTTCAGTCAGTAGAATTTATATATTTTATGTATTCTATATTTTTTCCTTTTTAGGCTATATTCCTTGAATTTAGGAAGGAGTCTTTTTTTTTATACCAGCCTTAACCAGTTATGTGACCTTTTTTTGAGAAGTTATCATGGATCATTCAATGGATTCTAAACATTATATATGTTTTTATTATTTATTTATTTATTTTTTAAATTATTATTAAATTTTATTAGTTTT